ATCCTTATCTCAACCAGCAAAAACCCTTGTTCCTTCCTCTTATTGCTTATACTCTCTCTACAACAAAATTAGAGATAAGGGCAAAATAGTTTCTGCCAGGTATTGAGGGGGTAGGGGAGACAGGGAGGGGATGGAGTGGGTGGTAAGGGAGGGGGTGGGGGCAGGGGGGAGAAATGACCCAAGCGTTGTATGCACATATGAATAGTAAAACAATAAAAAAAAATCAGCTATGTACGACATAGTCTACATATAATAAAATGAATACATGGAAAAAAAAAGAAAAACAGTTCATTAGTAAAAGCAGTTTTAGGAAGTTATAAAATGTGCTTATACTCCTCTCATATATGTGATTTGTAAGTTAGGAGTTTACTATATAAACTGAGCCAAAACCATTGAAATCTCTGGGCCCTAGCAGAAGGAAAAGCAAAAATCTCTGCAGGGTTACTTTCAGATCCTGGTGCATGGGGCTGGAGGCTCAAGTGGTAGAGCACCTGCTTTGCAAGCACAAAGGAAGCCCTGAGTTCAAACTCCAGTCCTATTGCACCCCTGCCAAAAAAAAATCCTGGGGCACTTGGATTTCTATACAAAGAATAATAATCCACTGAGGACAAAATCAAAAGTAAGAATTAGAAGTCATAGAAAGAAATAATTTTCATGAAGACCAGCTAGCTATTCTGATAAATGGGAGAATTGTTACCCCACAACTTCAGATAATAGAACAGTCTGAAAGATACTATGCCTTTAACATGATTATGAAAAATAAAGACACTATCGTGATGGATAAGAAGAGTGAACATTGTGAAGACTCCATGTATTGATATGATAAAATATTTAGACCATCTTTTAGATCATAAGAGAAGTGCCTTATTTTTTTATAGAATCTGTAGTCTGGCTGAACCTAGAGGTACATTGATAACAACACAGTCCCAAAAGGAGAGAAGGCGTATGCTTTTGCCCTCTGGTTCCTTTATTTTTAGTCTTCTGAGGCATAATCAAAACAGCTCTAAATCAGTGCAGGTGATCTGCTAACTAGGTATGGTAACTCTCAACACTTTCTCCTCCCTATGCAGACATTATGATCTCAATCAACTGCTGGAGCCTCGAAGCATAACTGCGGATCCTTTGGACTACCGCCTAAGCTGGCACCTGTGGGAGGTGCTACGGGCTCTTAACTACACTCATCTCTCAGAGCAATGTGAGGGTGTGCTGCAAGCTAGTTACGCTGGCCAACTGGAAAACAAGGGGCTCTGGGAGTGGGCTGTCTTTGTCCTCCTGCATATTGAAAACTCAAGGTAAGTGAGAAGCCATTGAACCCAGTGGGTACACCTAGCATTACAGGGCAGTGACAAAGAATTGGAATAAGAAATAATGAAGTGGGATCAAGTGTGGTGGCCTTAGGGGAGATGAAGGTGGAGGATCAAAAGTTTGAGGCCAGCCTGAGCTAAATAGTGAGACCCTGTCTTTGGAGACAAAAAGAAAAAGGAGAAAAAAAAAAAGTAGAAAGATATGATTAGGGCAATAGCATTAACTTAGGCACAAATTCAGTTGACTGTGGCATGTTTAGGAATTATCCAGAATTAGTGCTAGCTGAGCTGCCTCAGTGGCTCTATGACTGTAATTAATGGGTTAGCAGAAAGGGTTCTGGGTTTTCTTAGTCTATTGACTTTCTCTTTCCCTATCCATCCTTTATCACTCATCCTCTAAGTTATAGTATTGTACTTATCAACACAGTCTTGTTACATATATTTTGGTGTTCTCTGTCCTGAAAAAGAACTAGAAAAACACCTCCCCTCTGTGGTTTAAAGAAGATAAGGTTTTATTTTGTTTTGTTAGCAGCATGGTAAACAACAATAAAAACAAAACACTTACTGGTATTTTGTTAGTGTGTTTAACATGTTTATACTCTAAGTATTTTACAGGTATTAATTTATGTTCCTAAACCTATAAGATAAACACTCGTAAAATCCCTGTTAGCCAGGCATGGTGGTATGCTTCTGTAATCCCAGCACTAGGAAGGCTGAGGTAGGATCATGAGTTTGAGGCCAGCCTGGGCTGTACAGCAAGGCCCTGCCTCGGTACTACTACTACTACTACTACTACTACTACTACTACTACTACTACTACTAGTCTCTGTTTTACAGATGAGTAAACTAAAACTAAAGATTAACTTTTGCTCAAGTTCATACAACTAGTAAATGTTGAAGTTTCCAATTCACACAGCAGAGTGTATACCCTTCTTGATTTTATTTTCAGTGCTGGGAATCAAACCCATAGCCTTAAGATTATAATGCTCTAAATTATTATGCTGAGCTGTCATGTTGTATGGAGAGTTGTTGGGTTTTGTAGTCAGACTTGCCTACAAGTGAACGTACTCACTTTGGACTGGGTAAAGATACTCTACAAGTTTCAGAGTTCTTACTTGTAAAATTTCAATATTAGTCTCTATCCAAAGCTCATTATGGGATTGAAGGAATAAAAGTATAATGCACCGATCATAGCCTCCGGTTTAATCTGTTTCTCTTTCCTTTCCCTCTAAACAGGAAGTAAAGTGACCCCAAACTATTCCTTTGAGTTTACTTAAACACAGAGTGGGGTAAAAGGCTGTTTCAGAGTTGGGTTTGGGGAAGCAAATCTTATTTCCTGAAAAAGAAAAGAAAAAACAAGTGGTTGTGATGTGATTGGGAGTCCTTGGGAAGCTGAAGAGTTCAGAAAAAGAGTCCAAGATGAGAATAGTTTTCATCTGAAAGTGACTGTTCTTTGACCCAGACAGAAAAGAACTTTACTTAAAGAGCCTTACTCTAGAGGTAGAGAATGAATTAGGAAGACTGATGGCTTAAGAAAAGAAAACAAGCCCTAGAAGAGACATGACCTATAGAAACTACTCTTGTTTGTTTGTACAGACCATGAGGGAGAAGGGAAGGAAAAAGATTGGGAATGAATTTGGGAGGACTACTCTGACACAGAATTCCCTATCCCAGTCCTTATATTTCTAGCTAAGAATGTTGCTGGACAAGAAGTAAAGAGCTCCTAGCTAAGGAAAGCCTTTTCTGAGGAAAGTACAGCCTGCCCTAAAGTACTGGGTTTCTGAGTTTTTGATAGTGAAACTACAATATGCTTAGATCCTCTATTTTATTTCATTTAAAAACTGAAATGGTGTGATGACTTTTTTTTTTTTTTTTTTTTTGGCAGTAGTGAGGTTTGAACTCAGGGCCTCATTCTTGGTAGGCAGGCATTCTCCCACTTGAACCCCTTCACCAGCAACCTCCGTAACAAAGGACGGTATTTAGTCCATCTTCTCTCTTCCTGCAGCATACGTGAGAAGGCTGTTCGAGAGCTGCTTACCCGGCACTGCCAGCTGTTGGAAACCCCTGAGTCTTGGGCTAAGGAGACTTTCCTTATTCAGAAGCTTTGTGTGCCTGCTGAGTGGATTCATGAGGCCAAAGCAGTACGAGCACACATGGACTCTAATAAGCACTTGGAGGCTCTCTATTTGTTTAAAGCTGGTCACTGGAATCGCTGCCACAAACTTATCATCCGGCACTTAGCTTCTGGTGAGTACTAGGGCCCACATCTCCTGTAATAACCCCAAATATTTCCAACCTCTGAACCCCCATGATGGGTCAGGTCAAAGGTGGTACTCAATACGGGACATGCAAGCTAGAATCAAATCATGCTTTGCAAAAACTTCAGAAGAAACTTGACTAGGATGAGGGATTAGAAGAGCAGGAAAAGATAGCAATTGCAAAGTTAACCATTTGCCAGAAATAATCCCTGATGTGCTTATGGAAATTTTGTCTAACCCCAGAAATAATCTTCTCAGAGTCCTGAACTCAGAAATCTTCACATTTTTCTTTGGAGACTTTTACAATACTGCTTGTAATTATCAAGAACAAACCAACATTATTTCTTCCTTCCTGTCTTAGTTTTCTCTCAGGTCCTCTGCACTTTTGGGAACCATGCACTTTGTAATACAAACATTGTTCTCAATATTTTGTTTTTTTCAGATGCCATCATTAATGAGAACTATGACTTCCTGAAAGGTTTCTTGGAAGACCTGGCACCTCCAGAGCGCAGTAGCCTAATTCAGGACTGGGAAACATCTGGGCTTGTTTACCTGGACTATATTCAAGTCATTGAAATGCTCCACCACATTCAGCAGGTACCTGAGCTCCTTAAACCACTCCCTGGTTTTTCTTTTCCCCAACCCTTTAAGCTTCAGAGACCTCAAAATGTCTTAGTATACACTTTTGAACTCACTGGCAGAGATCGCACTGTCATTGCAGATAGGACATTTTGGTGAGGCTAATTTGATTTAGCTATTTTCACACCTGTATCAAAACTTAAAAACAGTTTTTTGGTCTTCTTAACCAGTTGGTATGTATACATATATTTGCAATAGGCATTCCTGAGACTTGTCCATAGCCCTTGTCCAGCCCTAGTTTAAGTGAGAAGCTCAGGGATGAGAGGTAAGTAAGAACAGAGATTTGGGGAGGAAAAATGTTTTCACATGTTGTTTGGCATGGTTTTTGTTTTCGTTTTGTTTTTTGGTAGAACTGGGTTTGAACTCAGGGTTTTGTGCTTACAAAGTAGGCACTTGCAAAAGAGGCACTCTACCACTTGAGCCATCCCTTCAATGCATTTTGCTCTAGTTTTTTTTGGAGATAGGGTCTCAAACCATTTGCCAAGCTGGCCTTGAACCTCAGTCCTCCCAAGAATAGCTTTTTACAGGTGTGAGCCACCATGCTTAAAACATGCAGCTGGCATGTTTTAAGTCTTCATTAAAATGTCTTTTGTCAGTCTGGATAGTCATAAGATAGATCTCCATTACTTGTTTACAACATAGAAGCCAAAGTTGTACATATCACATTCAGGTCCCATTAGAGGTTTCTTTTAACCTATTCCTGTCTTAACTCTTACCACTCTTAAGTCATTTCTAAGCCTTGCCAACCTGCTCTACTTGCACCAGATTATTCATAGTGTTTCCAGCACACCTTGTAATATTCCTCTTGTTATATAGCATGCTTTGTCTCATCCTTTAAGATCTTAGATGGCTTAGCTGAGTGTGGTGACTCAGGCCTATAATTCCAGCACATGGGAGGCTGAGGCAGGAGGATTGTGAGTTTGAGGCTCTTCTCTGAGATACATAGTGAGTTTGGCTACAAAGGGAGACTAGATTGTTGTTAGCTGTACTTTTCCTTCTTTTTCCCTCAGAAAGAGTTAATTGCACTTACTCTCTTACTACCAAATACTTTGTACATTTTTCTATTGGTCTGCCTGTCAGAACTTACTGTACTTATTTATATTTCTAGGTTGCCATAATCCTCTTGGGGGTAGATGGGAGGTCTTTTCTGTTTTAAGGTTAAAGGCAGTAGAGTATAGAAGTTAAGAGCTCAAGTTTTCCAGTCAAACTATTGGATGCCATTCATATCTCCCTCATTCACTAACTAGGTAACTAACCTTTCTTTGACTCTCATCTGACAAAACAAGTGAATAGTGGAGGGAACAGTGGCATACTTAAGTATATATCTGATAGGGCTTTCATAAAGATTAAACAGAATATTCCTGAACAGTTCACAGTACCTTGTATTTTAACTGATTGATAATATCTGCTATTATCGTCATCTATTTCCAACTCCTAGTACATTAGGCACTAAGTGCCATAATTCAATCTTTGCTGTACTTCTGAAATGGATTAAGAGTATCTTCCCTAAATAATTGCTGAAGAAATCCTCTCTAATTGAACATTGATTTCTTCACTTATACAACCTAGTTATTGAGAACCTACGGTGGATTTGGGGACATAAAATTAAATAGTGGGACTGGTAGAGTGACTCAAGTGGTAGAGTGCTTGCCTAGTATGTGCAGAGTCCTGTGTTCAATCTCCAGCACCACAAAATAAAAAACCCTGAAAGGTAAATAGTATATGTTCTGCCCTTTCCAAAGTAATTATTTGGTGGGGAAAATATATGCACGTAAACCAGCAGTTACTATAGAGTAAGTGTGAGGATCAACAAAGAGTGTTGTCAGTATAGCACAGCACATAAAAGGAGTACCTTGGCTGGGGGCAGTGGTTCAAGTGGAAGAGCACTTGCCAGGCAAGCAAAAGGACTTGATTTCAAACCCTAGTACTGCAAAAAAGTGCCTAATGCAGTGAGGAGACAAAATCACAATATAGCTAATATCCACATTCATAATTTAATGAAACACTAATTTTTAGTTTAAATCCTCTCCAGTTTTATCTTGTTCTACTCCTTAGTCTACATTCTACTATATTAAAAGTCCTTTGAGTTTCCACCTTATGGGGTTTTACTGCTCTCTTTGCTGGAAAGCTTGACCCTTTTTCCTTGTTCCTTGTTATTCAGGGGTCAGTTTAGTTAGGACCTCCTTAAGGAGGCCTCTCTTGACACCTCTGCCAATCCAAAATAGCCATCCAGTTTCTTTCTGCCACATCAGCCTAACTCGGTTTATTACCATCTGATTTTTACCCCCCTTGGTTTTTTGAGACAGGGTATCCCTGCCTGGCCTCAAACTCAAGATCCTCTTGCCTCAGCCTTCCAAGTGCTGGGATTACAGACATGTACCACAACAGCCAGAACTATATTTTCTTGTTTATAAGTTTCATGATAGCAAAGACCTCATCTTACCTTGATCACCACTGTCATTTTTAAAAACTGGATTCTGGCTGATGAAAAGAATAGTAGAATCTAAAGGTAGATTCAGCAAGCCTCTTAAAAGTAGATTTGAGCTAGCCACCAGTGGTTCATGCTTATTATCCTAGTTCCTTGGGAGATTGAGATCAGGAGGATCATGATTTGAGACCAGCTTGGAAAAATAATTGACCAAAGTAGACTAGAGATGTGGCTCAAGTGGTAGAGTGCCTGCTTTGCAAGCATGAAGCCCTGAGTTCAAGCCCCAGTCCCACCACAAAAAAAAAAAAATAGATTTGATGAATGAACCATTTACAAAGGAGGAGGTGATGGGAGACTTAAGGTAGATTACTGTAAAAGTTTAGGAGGACTTATTCAAGAAACACATTTGAAGCAAATAGGATAAGATGCTAAATAGGGCTGGAGCATGGTTCAAGTGGTAGAGCACCTGCCTAGCAAGTGCAAGGTCCTTAATTTGAACTCTAGTACCATAAAGTGAGGGAGAGAGTGTAGGGTAAGAAAAGGCCCTGCAGTGTTTTAGACATGACAATGAACTTAGAGTCAGGAAGCCTAAATTAAATGCTAGTTTAGTCACTACATTTTATTACATCTTATTGCATGTGAGCTCTTGAGAAGCCATATCATCTCCCTGAACCCAGGTTTAACTAGATTTTTGGTACTATATTAAAATCTTGCTAAAAACATGGTTCATGAAGCATGATCTCAGGACCTTCCCAACCCATGGCTCTGTATGCTTACCTTCCTCTTGTGCACTATTGCTGTTAGTTCCCTGTCTTCAGCAACATGGTGATCGTATGCACACTGCCAGCTAGGTTGTTGGGTCTTCTCCTTCCTCGAGGTTTGTATAATTGTTGTTTCAGGTTTGTATAGTCTGTGGGTGGGATTGATGATAGAAAACTCCTCTTGATCTAATTGGTTTCTCTGCTTCTCTGTAGGTGGATTGCTCAGGTTATGAACTAGAACAGTTACACACCAAAGTGACTTCACTGTGCAACCGGATAGAGCAGATCCAATGTTATAATGCCAAGGATCGCCTGGCTCAGTCAGGTAAACCTGTAGCCTCTACAACCGTCCTCATGGCTTGCTTTCTGTCTTTCTAGCTATGGCAGTCTACAACCCCCAGTGCCAGCTCTTTACCAGCTCCATCCTAAATGTACTCGCTCCACTTTTTCTCTCTAGACATGGCCAAACGTGTAGCCAACTTACTGCGAGTGGTACTGAGCCTACAGCATGCCCCCGAAACAACCTCTGAATCAACGCCAGACCCTCATCGAGTCCCTTTGCGCCTGTTGGCTCCCCATATTGGCCGGCTTCCCATGCCTGAGGACTATGCCTTGGAGGAACTGCGCAGCCTCACACAGTCTTATCTTCGAGAACTGACTGTTGGGAGCCAGTGAGCTCCAGGCTCTTGCCACCACACTCACGTGCTCATTCACACTCACCACAGCAATCCCTGCATCGTTTTGATTGATACTGTTTGCCAATCTCTCGGTTGGCTATGGAACCTACTCTTCCTTACTGCTGCCCCAAGCAGCATCCTTCATTTGTTCAGGGCTTTTCTTAATACTGAACATAGCATAAGGGCTTCTGGAACCAAAAAAAAGGAGATAAGTCTCCTTTTACCATCCTCAAAACCATTCAGGTTTTTTCTCTTTAAAAGAAAAAAGAAAAAAAAGGTCAATAAAGCTCCTTTGGCAGAATCCTTCAAAGAACCAGGGAGTTCTTTTCTACCCCAGGCATTCTGGATGTTGTGATCCTCCATGCCAACTTGCTACCCTACTCCTACTCCTTTTATACTTAGGACTCTTTCAAAGGAGCAAGACACACATGGGACAAATGTCTTGATCTACGACTATCTTTCCTTAACAGATGAACCATCCACAGAAGGAATTTGTCTCTGAAGTACATTGGTTAATTAACAGTGAGTTTTTGGGTCAAAAAAGGGTTGGACTGAGGAAACAGAACGGGATCTTTGACACATTTAGGATAGAAGGGAGTGTCCGTCATGGAAGATTAGATCTTCCTGGCTTGTTTTGTTTCTGCCCTGAATGTTCCATGAACACAACACCCTCCCTACCACCATATACAGCAGCCCTAGGTCACATATCACATGTCTCTGGGACGCTTCCAGAACGTGATTATTAGTCATCTTTCTGGGATTCGTGTCTGAATTTGACTGAAGAGTTTGGGTAAAAAATGGCAGGTTGGCTAGCCTTCCCTGCCCCTCCTATTCTAGCCCCAGAGCATTTCTTACCCTTCATCTTCCCTCCCAAAAAGTAAAACCATCACTGAGGCAGGCAAGGAGCTAGGCTTGGGGGGCAAGCAAAGGGCCTTCACTACATTGCTGCCGGCTATGGGGTGCCCCAGGTACTGGCCTGACAGCTTCTGTTAGTGCTGTCACAGACATCATGGCCACCCCTGGGTCTTTATGCATGAAGATTATGTAAAGGTTTTTATTAAAATATATATATAAATAAATAATCTAGATTATTTTCCTCTTTTTCTGAAGCTACTTTCTTAAAAAAGAAAATAAAATGTTTATAGCATTTCTGGTATTGACTTTCCCTTTGTGTTTTTGTTTGTTTTGTTTGAACCCGTGGTCTTATACTTGCTAGGCAAACATTGGGATTAGATTTGTAAGAGCAAATTTAGGAGCAAAGGAGTTGATTATTGATTTAAACTGAACTGCTGCGCATTTTTTTACGCACATAAATTCAGTTAGGGCTCTTCAAATTGCCCAGTGGAATACACTTACCATTCACAGCCTCCTTGCTCTTCTATTCTGGTGGTTGTTTTTAAGCCTTGAGTCATGATTCATTCACCTTGTCAAATCCAGATTGCTTTATGTAAAGGCAGTAATGATCCCTAATGTTGTTGCTTTACACAGTGCTGTTTTTGAGAGGTCATATTCAGGTCTTACTTCAGTTTGTCAAAATGAAGATAAGAGCCAATTCCAGTTAGGATTAGACTAAAGACTTCTGTAACAGTGAAGAATTCTGTGATTAATAAGCAAAGTGCACCAGGTGGCGGTTGCTCACGCCTGTAATCCTAGCTACTAAGGAGGCAGAGATCAGGGGGATCACAGTTTGATACCAGCCCATGAGACCTTGAGCAAATAATTCCGTGAGATCTTATCTCAAAAAAACCTTCACAAAAAAGGACTGGTGGAGTTGCTCAAGGTATAGACCTGAATTCACGCCCCAGAACCACAAAAATAAATAAGCAAAGTGGATCTGCCCTGTGGCTGGGGCATCAATTTAACTTGGGCCCGAGGGCAGTAGCTAATCAGCTGATTAGCTCCCCACTCCCTCCATAACTGACTCACTTTGTGAACTTGAATGAGTCCACGGCTGGATTATTGTTTTTTTGGTGACACTGGGGTTTGAATTCGGCCTTGTACCTGCTAAGCAGACATTCTACTGCTTGAGCCACTCTGCCAGCCCCCAGTGGCTGGACTTTTAGCAAAGAATTTTCAACCTCCTTTCCTCAACAGAGGCATTTTTCAAAAAAAAGAGAGTGCTATGGAAATGGTAGCATTTACCAATGTTAAGGATTATGAAAATGGATAGTATTTATTTTTAGGGCAAATATTGTTTCCTTTATATTTAAAAAAGGGATCTAATCAAATGTATCATAGAAGCTATATTGCATCATGTTAACTTCCAGTTCAAGGTAAAGATCTCTTTTGCATCCCAAAATCCACCCCACTGAAATTTTTTTAAATGTTTTCATTCTGCAAAAATATAAAATGTATTAATATATATTATATTCTTTAATAATTTCTATTAATACTCCATTGCACTTTCAAATTTCCCAAAGTGTTTCAAAAAGTAAGCTTTTACATTGTTTTATAGCTCACTTGTTTGTTGGATTGTTTGCAACATATCCAAAGAGTCTGTTATCTCCTAAGTCACTCTTCATCTGTAATAGTCACCCCTCTACTTTTTAAGCCATTTATATGTTCAAATAACTGGGTCATTTGTCTTTCAGAGTAGGGTGCTGTGGCTCCTAGATTTGGCTCATTGTGCCAAATCTAAGAGCCTGCAGTACCTTCCTTTTTATAAACTGTTGGTTAGATCTAAAAAATTTATTCCACTTCTCTCCTGTGCTCCCCAAGAATATTTGGTGCTGTGCACTTATCACTTCAGGAGGTATGTCTTACTGACCCACTTCAAGTGATGTTAAGATTATTGATTCAGGTCTTATAAACCTGATCTACCCTTTATAAACTTTTCATCTCTTAATTGTGGCCAAAATTCATTATTTCATTAGTGTAGAATCCCTTTTTGTGTGTGTTAATCTCATTTTCAAGTGAGAGATTTATGTAGTGTGTGTGTGTGCGCTACTGGGGTTTGAACTCGAGTTCTGTGCTTGTTAGGTGCGCTTGAGCCATGCCTCCAGCCCATAATAATATGTTTTGTTTGTTTGAGACATGGTTTGCGTGGCCCAAACAGGCTTCAAACTTCTGGTCCTCCTGCCTCAGCTTTTTTTTTTTTTTTTTTTTGGCAGGAGGGCCATAATGAAATAACCTGCCAACCAACTTTTGGACTTTGGAATTTTCTTTCAGTCTAACATCTGCACCCCAAAACATATTAAATATATAGTTATTTCAACATTTTCAAAGGCACTAACATTTGAGCTCCTAATCTGATTTGTGCCTACCAATTTTACATGGATTATCTTTAATACTTAAGACAGCTCTGGAGATGTGGCTCAAGTGGTAGAGCACCTGCTTTACAAGCATGAAGCCCTGAGATCAAACCCCAGTACTGCAAAAAAAGAAAAAAGACACTCCAACTTGTGTTTTTACACACATTTAAAAAAAAAAAAAGCCAGGCACCAGTGGCTCATGCCTATAATCCTAGCCACTTGGGAGGCTGAGATCAAGGAGAATTACAGTTCGAGGCCAGCCTGAGCAAATAGCTTGAGAGACCCAATCTCCAAAATAACTGGAGCAAAATGGACTGGAGATGTGGCTCAAGTAGTAGCAGGTACTCTTTACGAATCCCTGAGTTCAAACCCCAGTCCTGGCAAAAAGAAAAAAGAAAACCCTGAGAAATTAAGGAACCTGCAGGTGCTCACACAGCTTGAGTGGAGGAAATTGGAACTGAACCTCACATTCTGGCCTACATCATATATAAATGCTAAGTATACACCATGCCACAAAAGTTACATTTCTAGCCCTAAACTTTCAGATAACTATATGGTTCCAAATAGTTTACAAACCATTTCTCTAATCATTTTGCCATTAGTAGGAATTCTGAAATGAACAAATTGCACCATGTGTATATAAAGCAGAAATTCTCATTTACATCACTTCCCTCCAGCTCCCTCCCCACTAATCTGTCCCTCTCTTGTTTGATCCTCTCATTCTGCTCTTAGGAAGAAAGCTTCTGGTTTTTTATGAAGTAATGTTAGCTATAGGTGTTTTGTAGACAGATATTCTTAAGTTGAGGAGTTACCCTCTTTCAGGTTTGCTGAGAGTTTTTAGCATGAAGTATGTTGGATTTTTTTTTTTTAAGGGGGAAGTAATTGGGGGTTGAACTCTCAGGGATTTTGTGCTTGCTTGGCAGGTACTCTGTCACTTGAGCCACACTCCCAGCCCTGGAATTTTTTTTTTTTTTCTTTTTCTGAGATAGTGTCTCCCTATTTACCCAGACTAGCCTCAAACTCAATGCTCCTGTCACCCCCCTGCATACCTTGGATTTTAGGCCTGCATGGCTACCATGCCTGACTGGATTTGTTTTTGCAAAAAATTCCATTTTGAAATGTGAAATCCTTGATTTGATGTCCAGAGGGAGATGTTGGGAAGATGGAGAAGCATCTGGTATCTAGGGGAAGAACTGGGATGGAGAACAAGCAGGGAATTGGTACACCAAAGTAGCTGAAGTCATGGCTATGAATGTGATTACCAGGGAAATATGTGTAGCTCTTGGTCAGTCAACTGGCCATTGGTACAAAAAAAGTTAAAAAGAAAAAACAAAAAAATGCACTATAAATACCCTCGACTCTCATTTGTTCCCGAAGCCATCCTGACTGGCACCACACTGCAAATACTGCTGAATGCTTACTGTACCTTTGGCACTTGCCTTGCACTATCTGGTTATCTCATTTAATCCTTACAGCTTTCAAGAGAAGTACTATCAATTCCATTATCCAAACTGAGAGAACTAAAACCCAGAGAGTTTCAATGTCAGACACCTCATAAAAACAGCTGAAAGTGATCCTAAAAGACTGTGCTTCCCCTGTTACTCCATATTGCTCATAGAGTTTGGACATTATGAAAAGACTTGAGTCTCAACTGTAATGACTGCAGGGACTATGCAGAGAGGGTATGGGCTTCATCTCCTGTTCTGGCCACCTATCTGGCCACCTGGAGTGACCTAAGGATCAGCACCACTCCCATCAGGAGGGCAGAACTTGCTTGGCAATCTAGCCTGATGTGTTCAGTCCCTCATCAGGAGGGGTGCAGGTCTAACGGAGCCTCCAGGATACAGGTAATGGTGGCAGAGCTGGGGGGACAATTCCCATCTACAGGTCCTGACTCTATCCCTTAAGTCCTAGTGTTCTGCACATCCTGACCCCACCATCCCTGCTCCTCCATCCCCCCCCTGACTTGGCCTGAACTGAGCCTGAGTGCTGCTTTACAGAATATGAATAATTTAACTGACACCTGCCTGAGGTATCAGTTTCAGTTGCTCTG